GCCCAGGTGACAGCTAAGTCTTTCATTAAGGGCACCTTTCATCAGCATGGGAGGTCAGGGAGTTTTAATGAACCTTCCACTGTTAATCCTCTCCCACATGCGAGTGTTTCCCTGACACTTACTCTGTGATTCCAGATGAAAACTACAAAGCTGGTGCAGCAGCACAGAAAGACTTAGGATCAAAGTGGAGTTTTGTAAATTCTTCAGCTGCTGGCTCAGCTTCAGCTGGAGCTGGAGAGGTGACAGAGGCCACATCTTTTCTTCAGCTCCTGGCAAGAGTCTTGGATGAGGAGCAGAAAGTCAGGGATGGCTGATGAGATATTGCCACAGACTGTCACCCAAGGCTGTGCAGCTGAAGCAAGAGAGGACTCATCTCAACAAACTACAGCTGCCTAAAGCCTAAAAGCACTCAGTGTCAGTGTCACCAAGGAGCTGGCTTGCAGGCACTGAGACAGTGTGACTCCCCTTGGCGGGCAGGTGTACAGGTGGCACAGGGTAGCATCATGATGTATCTCAGATATATTTTAGGCTATTTAAATTTTCCATGCCTAGTGAGGAAAACGAGGGAGGGATGTGCAGTTATCCCCAAAATATCAGGACATGTTCATGGCAAAATGACAGCTTCTGGAACAAAAAGCAAGGCTTCTAAGTAGGATGCTCAGGCTGTGTGTGACATGACCTTAGCCAGGGAGAAAGCCTCTGTGAGATAGTAAGATATAAAGAGGAATTTCAAGCTAGAGACTGGGAGAAGTGAGGAGGCAGAGAGGAGCAGAGGTTCATGATGTCATATCCTTAAAGGTGCCATTTTGACCTTTTTGAAACCACAAGTAAGCAGGAAACAGCAAGACACAATCTGGACAAAAAAAAGCCCCTTTTAGTGGGGCACAGTAGCTGCAGCAATCAGGGTGAATGTATGTTTGTTTCTATTTGCTATAAGTCTGTAAATAAGATACAGGTCTAAAGTTCTTGATTTTTATATAAGGGCATTGAAATATCAGAGACATTCCAGAAGAAATATAATTACTGGCTCATTGTAATAGCATGATAAAAATTACATGGGAAAGAGCCAAAATATCCTGTCCCTAATGAGGAAAAGGACACGAACTCTGTCATATTAAAAACAGAAACAGAAAGACAGGCTAAAAAAGATTCTTAGGAAATAACTTGCTACTAGACAAAGAGCCTCTTCTACCCGAGCAGGAGCAGGGAGCCTACTGGAGGGCTCTGCAGGTGACCAGGGCATGCAGTCAGCAGACGGTCAGGGTGCCAAAGGAGTTCCAGTGAAAACAAGTCATAACAGGACAGCTAAACAGACACATTCAGCACAGAAAAGCTTGGTGAAATTCCCAGTCAGAACCATTTGCTAAAGGGATAATGCAGTGAAATTTCCTCAGATGGAAGGGTCATTAGATGAGGCTTTAGAACAAGTAGTTGCAAGACCAACAAATTCATGAGAAGCAGATATTAGCCACTTACGGATTTTTAAGGAATGCTAATGGAAGTTGTTGCACTATAAGGACTGGTGTATAAGCTTTCACTTAAAATGGTACTGTTTTCTTTGAAGTGCTATGAGGGATCTAGAGAATGCAAACCACTAAGTCTGATACCTGCAGTTGGCAAACAGCAGAAGCCATAGTAATAGAATACTTGCAAGGACAGAGTCAGACTAAGAAGGAAGAATTGGCAGAGCCTGTGAGGACCTGTGCAGCTGTGCTCCACCACCCTCTTAGAGCTTCAGAGGAAACTGAAGTTGCAGGCTAGAGCAATCTGCTCAGTATGATCTCAGCTTCTGAAAAGCCTTTAATGACATCTGCTACCAAGGGCCCATAAAGAAGCTAATCTGGCATGGGATAAATGGAAAGATCCTTTCATGAGTGAGCAACTGCATACAGGATAGAGAGACAAGGTAAGGATAAATCATCCAATCTTCACAGTGGAAAGAAGTCACCAATGACATCTTAGAGGGATCATGGTAGGGCCAGCGCTCATCCACATACCCATCATCAGGTGTAAATGGTTTGGTCTGCTGGTGGTACCAGCTTATTCAAGGTAGTCAAAAACAAACTGCAAACTCTTATGAGGGTACTGGAGAGTGCTCTAATTTCTTCCTAGACCCTTCTTTTCTCCAGGCTGAACAACCACAGTTCTCTCAACCTGACTCCATAGGAGAGAGGCTCCAGCTCTCTGGTCACTTTCATGGGCCTCCTCTGGATTTGCTCCAGCAGGTCCATGTCCTTCTTATGTTGGGGGCCCCAGAGCTGGACACAGTTCTCCAGGTGGGATCTCAGGAGAGCAGAGTAGAGGAGCACAATCACCTATCTCAACCTGCTGGCTGTACTGCTTTTGATGCAGCCCAGGATACAGTTGGCTTCTGGGCTGTGATGCACATTGTTAACCCATGTTGAGCTTCTTGTTAGCCAGCCAGCCAAGTCCTTCTTGTCAGGGCTGCTCTCAAATCCATTCTTCATCCAGCCTGTGCTTGGGATTGGGATTGCCCTTATCCAGGTGCAGGACTTTGCAATGATTTTATGCGGGTAGCAACTACTATGTAACTATGCATTATGTATGCAAGGATTCTTCAAGGTGAAAAAGAAGAATCCAAGAAGGATACTCCCTCTGCACCATACTGATGCAGCTTTGTAAATTCAAGAAGCATCACGAAGAATAACTAGTTGCCTCCTCTCATAAGATGCAAGAAAGGGACATCAAATGATGTTTTCAGGTTCAGTATAAAGATGAAGGCAAGGAGCTCTGCTCCTGGGCAAAGAAATGTCTCCCTTTACAGAACTTCTTTTCACAAGTTGTTGGGGACTACAGAAAGACCATACATGGTTTTAGAAGCAAGTTGACAAATGTGTGGAAGATAAATCATCTGAAATACTAAGCTAGGAAGACCCTAGGCTAGAAGCAGCTGTCCCCTCTGCTGGTCATGACCAGAGCTAGGTCACCACACTGATGGGCTTTGCAGCTGAACCTATTCTGAGAGTTTTTGTCAACCAGACAACTTTTAGATTCAACTTAGAAGAAATGCCATAATCCTGCACAGCAGAAGTGCACAACCAGAGCTCTGGTTTCTCATCGGCCCATGAACACCCTATTAGCATTAGTGGTGTTTCTTGCTCCAGGACAAGCTACACTGTTTGCTATTTTTTAAGATTAAAATAAAGATTAAGAAAAAACAGCCCATTCTCACATTTTTTCCATGTATTTTTATGTTCTGTGTTAGCTGAGGACAAAGCTGCAGTTTGACAAGTCCTATGCCAACACTGCTGCCAAAAGCAGCAGCTCTGCCCTCTTGTACCACTGGAAAGGACAAATGGGGGGGACTGAGGGGGGAATGCAAAATTAGCCTTCAGAGCTGAGAAAAAGAGGGCAAGGCTGCTGTAGGCAGGGCTGGCTTAGGCTGGTCCCAGGCGCTTAATGACCTATAATTTAATTTGGTGATGTTTCTTCTGACAGCTGTCCCTTGTGAAGGATAGCTGTCCTCATCCCCCTGAAAACAGCAGGAGTTGGCAGCCGTGGCTGAATGTGGCCTTTCTTGGCCCTGTCAGGACATCCCAAATGAAAGAAAAACCCTTGTTTATGAAAGGAAACACTACAGAAGTGACCTTTGCTCCATTATTAGAACTTTATTTATCAGTTCATTTTAATCACTTAAATTCTTGAAGGATTTTCAATTGTTTTGTAACTGTAAGGACAAAAAATGGATAATAGTGGATAATAGTGCTCTTAAATGAGGCATTTAAGATCTAATGACTGGTTTAATCACTAACAGTCAGACCTGTACTTTGATGATAAGGTCCAACTTTGGGGAGTGACTATCTTCAGCCACATCAAAGGGCCTGAATTACTTAGGGGAGTGCAAAGTCCAGATCAGCCTCTGGCATGGAGTGAGAGGGTCTGGGCTCTGGTGACTCAGCTTTCTTGCAGAAAGGGAGATTGCTTATGTCCAGTTACAGATAAATTTGTCTTTACGGTGTTATCTAGTCTTAAATAGCTTTTTTCTCTTTTATGAAACCGTTGCTGGTGTCAGAATCTTGTTAGTTTGTCACCAATTTATTCGTATCAGCTGATGCGAGGAAAGCAGACGGTGTTGATGTGAAGTAGAAAAGTGATGCTTGCATTCCCAAGCCCACCCTGAAAAACCCTCTTCTGTACAACACAGTCCATGTAAATGTTCCTATGTAGGGTGGGGGGTAATCATCTGCGTCTGAGAGCAAAATCTGAGGGGCTTGAAGGAAAAAACAGATTTGCAAACAAGGGTGAGAAAAGATGCTCGAAACTGTATCTCATATGGGACAATATTAGCAGAAACTTTAAGCTCCCTGAGGTGTAATATGAGCAAATGCAGTGTTCAGTATCATAGACCTGCTGTTAAAATCACACTTGCCTTGTCACTGTGTGTGACAGTGACCAAACATCGCTTTCTGTAGGAGTTGACCTGGAGCACTGTAATACAGCACTGCATAGGGTTTTCTTTACCCTGTAAATCATATGGGCAATGATAAAATTTACTCTCAAGATGGCAGGGCAAGGGAAATACTAGATTAGATTTGGCACAAGAAGAGAGAACTGGTTTTTACTCAATTTGAACCTAGTGCATCTGACATCCTTTAAATGCAGAAATGTTAAATTGATGTTATTTGTATTATACTATACAATATTATTACAATATTATATTATATATATATATCTCAATCTGATCCCTGCTATGTGAAGAGTATTTATGTATCTTGTTTTCTCCTTAACATGGGGCTAGGACAAATGCCCAGGGCAGAAACAATGCCAGATGGAGATGAACAGCTGGACTAATACTTGGATCAACCCATCATGCCTTTCCAAGGTGGCAGGTGGAAGCCAGGTGAGATACCACCAAGAATCTGCAATGACACAAGCTGTTGACTTAGTTTCCTTCCATTCAGTAATGGAGTAAAAGTCCAAGCTGCTACTAGGAGGTGCAACACTAACCTGCTGTAAATAGAAAAAAGAGCTTCTGGGATTCAAATCTCGGCCCTTGATGAGGAGCCTTGCAGGGCAGCAATGCACTCTCCCACCAGGTGAGCAGCCTCTTTGGCTGTGCCCCAGTGCACTGAAAAGCCACCTGCCCCATGCCCATAGTTGTGGACCACTAGGAGCTTAAGTCCTCCTTGGCTCAAAATCTCTCTTTGCAGTCTCACACACTGCCTGGATGGCCTCAGGCCCACCTTCACCTCGATATCCTGAGCCTCCTGCAGTGAGGGCTCAAGGGAGCAACATCTGTCAAAGATGTCTTTGGTAGTGTCAGGATCAGGGGAGAGACTCCAGCTCTCCTTTTCTCTGGTTCCCCCCAGGGTTACCCTGTGTATCCCTGGGTAGATATAAGTTAAGCCATCCCCATCCCGGATGAAGTTTTTCACCCAAGGAGCATGAACCTTGAGTACTTGTCCCCTGACAGGGAAGAGCTTCTTGTCCCCCACCAACTGGTGGGCTCCAATGCCTGTGCAGTTGACAACAATGTCATATTCGCTGTGCAACTCCCACAGATCTGCAACTTTTCTGGTGTACATCTGGATGCCAGCTGCTTTCAACCTGCAAAGAGACTCCAGCAGTGAGACAGAAAAGAAACCCCTAAACCCTCATGTAATTATTATGAACATTAAGTAAATGAGATAATGTTGCCTTTGCCTTTACATAATGATCTAAACCAAACAACAGATGGGACAAAAAGCAAAGAAAATGCCAAGGGGTTTCTCTTTGTGATTGGTCTGATTTGATCTCATCAAAGCTATTTTTTAGCTTGTTTGGACTGGAAAAGATAAGCAAGTTGATCAATTTTAGAGAAGGGTCTGGCATAAGACCTTAGGCAGGCAGTCAGGTCCTCATGGTGGTTTCTGGTTCATTTCTGTAACAGTACTGAGCTCTAACAACTCAAGTAAGCTGAAAACCAACCAATTTATTCACCAACTTATTTATGCTAGTGACAGTTGGTACTATACCCCTTTTAATGTGCCTGTTATATGCTGTCACATTCATTCCCAACTTGCCTCTCTGACACCAGTAGCCATGTAGTCATCTAGTGCCATGTGCAATGCCCTAGGGTACCTAAGACACCACCACAAGCTGGGCAGATGCGGCACAGGCACCCCAGGGAACACACAACCTTCTAGAACAGCACTTAGGACAGCTCAGAGCACTATACATCCATGTCTGCTCTTCAGCAAAATTCACCTCTTCTTGAGGTTCATTTTTGAGCTCAGTTTCAAGCCAAATTCTTCCCTGAACTTGCCTGAAGCTTAAAGCACTTCCCTGTGGAAAATCACTGGCATGAGAGGGAGTCACTGCGTGCTGTCAGCTGGATCCAGATACTGGGGGTCTTTACTGGAGGTTTGAGCGTGAACAAGTCAGGAGACAGGTCTGTGACAATGATGCATCATCAGGGATATCCTGTCCTTTGCAATATTCTAACAGCTGGCAAAGTCATCAACCTCACTATAAAGGCAGTGGTTTTCCACAAAGTGGTGAGTGATCCAAGGATCCAGGGCACAGCTGATGCTCTGGGGCCTGGGGTTTGGTGCAGCAGGACATTGAAGCTGCCTGGGAAGAACAGAGGAGGTCTCGAGCAACAGCTCTGGCTGGGCAACTTGCTGAGAGAGCTCTTGAAGTGTTGCAACTGGGACTCTGTCATCATGCCATAAAAATATGCACCAATCAAAAAATCTGCTGAATACTCCTGATTTTGGGCAAGCAAGCAGGAAAAAATTCCTGAAGACTCTTTTTGGACCAACAAGGTGGGCACAAAAACAATTTTCCTTCTGTATTGCCAAGAGAATGGTCTATAAATACTGCTCAGGTCACTAGGGGTTTGAGAATTAGTTACATGTTTAATATGCTCTCACTTCTCATCACCAGGGAGAAGAGTAAGAAAAAGAGCTTGATCATCTCATTAGGCTACATCCTTTGAGAAATAAGAAGACTGTAGCAGGAA